AATTGACACATTTTTGTCATTAGTAGTACACAGCCATCTCTACTCAGTTGCTCCCTTTCTCTCACAGAAAGATAAAACCAGTAGCTGCAGTTCCTGGCATTTACTTTTAAACAACAAACTTGGGACAAATCATTCTGCTACTGGTGCAGAATTTGCAGTGCATTATTTATTTTCTTACGAAAAGATAGCTGACCAAAGAATCCTATAATATAATCATTGTATCATGTATCTAGAGAAAGGAGATTTGTTGTTTCAGTTCTGAGTGTGGATCTGCTTGTAACTTGTTTAAAAGATATTTAGGCCATTAGAAAAGCAGTAGAATGACCAGATCAGAGTGACTGTGCTTCATGTGGATATAGTGAGCCAAAATGTGACTTCAGCCAGCTCTTTGCCTTTAGTCCTACAATGATCTTTGTACTAAACATTGTCTGATGCTATTCAGGAACCACTCATTTGACTCACTGATTTTTTTCTTTTTTCCCCCTTTCAGTAGATTTGGACATCTCCATTGCCATACTTTTTAAGTTATACTCTCCTGTTCTGATTTGCTTCAGAAGTGAGTCTGTAATTATGGATGGAACAGCATAAAGTCTAAAGTCCATGTTGAGACTATTCAATGACATATCAGGGTCAAGAGAATATAATGATTTGATTTACAGTTTTTGAGGAATTAAATATGTGTTTCGTGACTGTTTTGTCATCCTGTTTCAACTAATATGATTAATTAACATTAAATTAATATGCTTATTAACAACCCTTTTACACCAAACAGTCTTTGGAATACTGCTCAATTTATGATCCAGCAATCAGCTGATTGATCCCTAGCCTACTTGCTTGTTGGAAAATGTATAGCTATATCATAAATGAGCTAAGCAAGTTTTGAAAACCTAATGTATTTTCAAGGAAATTCCAGGAGATACTAGCTGCTCCTCTGCAAAGTGATGACTTTTAATAATCAGAGATAATCATGTCTGCTTTGTAGTGTGGAGATTAAAATTTGAATCAATCAGCACTATGTCCATCAGTGAGCAAAGCCCAAAGACCGGTCTGAACTTTCAGTCCTTCAGTGTAAGTTAATTTGCTCAAGCAGTCCTAGTAAGACTACAAGCTTTGGTAAAGTTACTTAGAAATTATGCAGCCCTGAGTTCTAGTTTTACCTCTGCCCCATTCTCAAGCTTGTGTAAAACCTTGGAGGTGAAGGGCTGCTGAGATCTTAATGTGGCATCTTGTGCATACTGCACGTCCAGTGCAGCTCAGCAATCAGGCCAGAAACTTTTGTCTATAAGGCAGGTGTTCATAATGGGTTTGCTATCAGGATAAGCAAAAAATGGGAGTAACTGTTTAACTTGTAATGTGGTTAGAAAGGCTATTACACCTAATTTGAGAAAGCAATCTTCAGGAGCTTGTTAGACACAACTATTTCAGAGGTGACTATGCAAACAAAGGTTAGACGAGTAGAGTTAATAGAGACAGTCAGGGCAGTGTGTAATGTACCCCCTTGCTGGCTGGACATGCTTTCCTGTGATTTCTAGAGCCTTCCCTGGCTCTGCTCCCATAGGATATGCATTTCAGAATTCTCTTTCTAGAGTTTATAACTTGCTGGGACTGTATTTTGCCTGAAAGCAGAATTCTCCATACCCTTGTGCACTTATCCAAAGAGAGGTATTGCCCTGTTTCCTGGTCTCTTCACTGTGGCTGTTCCCTGGAGTTAAAGGAACGTAACCAGAAAATTATATAACTCATAAGTATGATGGATAACATTTATAGCCATTAGGGAAAGTGAGAAGCCTCTCTTAATACTCCACTAACTAGGAAACTGTGCTGGTCTTAGCTTGGCATTTGATTGAAACTGAGAGAGAGGCAGAGAGGAAAAAATAGTGAGAAATGTCTTCTCTTCCTGTAGAAAACACAATATTGTCTACGCATCCCTTTGTAGAGCTGATCGGTAGGGATTTATAATCTGCCTGCTTTCAACAAACCAGTGTTTTCTATTTATATAGCAACACCCTGCCCAGCCACTGATTTACTTGTAGCTGAGCAAATCAGCTCAACCCAGCTGTACATCTGAAGAACCTAATGTAACATCTGAACTATAATGTCCCAAGATTTCGAAGCAATTGTTGTTTGCCTGCAGCGTAACGTGAGGTTATACTAGCAGCTGTAAATAATCCAGCAGAAAGCTGCACCAAATCAAATAGCCTTCGATCAGGTCCCTAGCAGTTTCATCTTCTCCTTCACTAAAGATAGACTGGATAAATTAAACTTTAAGTGTATGAAACTCAAGAGCACTGTGTTTAACCTAACCTTGTTGCCAATGATGGCAGTGTCGATATTAATGTTAAAATCACTATGACCATAGGTCAATGATGATGAATTGAAAATACTGCCATAAAACATCATTCCTGTTAAAAACACACAGAGAGAATGTTTATAAACACTTAGTGAGACTTAGGATAATTAGATTGAATTAAAACTGTCTAAAGTCTGCATTTTCACTAAATCTTTGTTATCTTACATTTCTTATGACAGTGTTAAAATAATCCATTGTTTGTGACAGGATTTGTGTTACTTTATACTTTCAGATTCTGTAAGTTTCAGATACTTGAAATCTAATTTTTCTCTTTCATGGACTGTTAAACAGTGATTGACTGGATAATAAAGGGTACATGGGGACTAATAATTACATGGCATCTTTTAACAGGCATTCTTAATAGAAGTTCTTAAATTCTCGTTTAAGAACTGTAGGTACGTTTTCATTATATATCAATACCTAAAAAAATCATACCAGTCTTTTTTTTCTTATCTATGTTTTAGAGCAAATGATGAGGTATTATGAGAAATACAGAACTCAACATCATGGCCAGAAATACCACCTCTGTCTTTGTGTACTGAATGTTACCATCAAGATACGAAATTTTAACAGCCAGTAAAAACTGTAAAGAAAATTATGCAAAGCAGTAGAGAAAAAGCATTTGTTTAAAAACACCTAACACGATTTCACAATCTGATTTACAGCTTTAAATCTAATTTCCATGTTCTTTGTTAGCTTTAGCTTTAGCCTTAACTCGCTGTTTTGTCAGTGTGCTTTACAGTTCACCAGTCCTTATTGAAAGATCTGTCATATTGTAACAAAAGAGAGAGACTGCTTTGGAATATTTCTGTAAATGAACTGAAAAGCCCTTGATTTTGTCCAGTAATGAGTAATAAAAATGAGTTAGATTGAAAGCGAAGCTGTCTGTCTGAGCAACAACATCAATTTAAAATGCACCGAAGTCATATATGATTATGAAAATGCCAAGTGTGTGGCTTAGTAAATTTGCTTGAAGAGAATTCTTGGGGGGGACAGAAAGAGAGAGGCAGTGCAGGTCTCACTGAAACAGCTGCATATGAAAGGGTAATCTTTGGATTAGAAAATAAATTAGAAGAATTCAAAGGAATTTAACAATATTTTTTGAACAATAGCGTAAGGGAGGATGAGGATTAAGAGCTTATGGGGGAAGAGAAAAACAGAATAGAAGAGGTACATAAAACTCATAGCTCCACAGAGAAACACATAATCCCTTTTCTTTGTGTTCAAGGGTAGATTCAGTTTATTTTCACAATTTTGTTTTGCACTGTTGAATGGGAAGGAAGAAAAGAGTAACAAACCCAGGATGCATTTAAACAAAATGTTAATTTTGTAGTTGAAAAGGTTAATATGTAATTAAAAATACCATGGCCTTTATTTTTCTTTCTCTTTCTGAGTCTATGTATCACTAAATCATGTAGATGAATCCCTGAAAAAGCCTTGTATTCAAATTGTAAGTTAGGTGCAAGGGCAGTAATGGCGTATGCAACTCAGTATTTCTGCAAAATGGAAACAATTCTATAGTAGATACAAATGTTATTCCCTTATGATATAGTTATCAGAGAGGGGTTCTCTCTGCTAGAATGCTTTTCGAAAGCATCAGCCTCTACTGGTATGAAGAAATGCAATTGAGAAGTTATCCTATTCAGTAGCTAACATTCGAGTCTGGAACTACTGACCAGAAACTTTTTTGTGATTTAAAATATGAGAGAGTCTGGCAGTTGAACTGATACTGTGGCCAGTATTTTTTCTATCAAATTGGATTTTTGATTAAATTGAGATGTGCAAGAAGCAATGAAATTTTCTCCATAAAATTTCCAATTCTTAAAACAGAGATATTGCTGAAAAAGGTACCAGATTGCATCATGAAAAATATAGTCTCGGACCGTATGTTTCCATTTTGTTCTAGGAGATAGTTTTTCTACAACCTGGGCTTCTTGGTTCATATGAGTCAACATTAAAAGGGAAGAAAACTGCGTTTAAGTGACTTCTCACAGTACAGTGGTGAGGTAGTCTAAAATTACTCCTTGTGCTGAAAAATATTTGAACATTGCAATGCCATATATCTAGTACTGAGAACAGCTCTAAGTTTTAGAAAATAATTAAAACTGTACTAGTCACCTGTTCAAACAAAAAAACAGGTGACCAAGTTTCTCTTGTCTCTAAACTCCAAATAACGCAATGGAAAAAAATAACTATCTTTCTAATCATGTCAGATTTTTAATAAGGCAGAGATTAAACAATGTCATTGCTCAAATCTCTGGGCCAGACTGCAGTTTATACAGTCCCTTTGCAAAAATCCACATGGATCCATTCTCAGACCACTTCTCTCTTATTTACTGAAGCTCCTTCATTGCCTTAACTTTGTAGCACTTTTGTATGGAAGCTAGCGTAAATTGCTATCTCCTTACCCTTCATCTCCTTGACTGACATTTTAGGTCTCTTTGGAAGAACAGATTCTTATATTTTTTGCTCATCCAGAAAATTGTTACTGTTTTCCTGACATCTCCAGCATATATTAATGATATATTAATGAAATCCCATCCAGCTATAATATAATATATTAATGAAATCCCATCCAGCTATATTCCAGTACTTCTGTCTATTCCTTACACCAGTTGAAGACACAAAGTCAGTTATTTCCAAGCCCTACCTGTTTAGTTCTCATTTTGGAATCTGATGACAGATTGTTGTAGGTATAATGGGCCTGTGTGACTCCACAGAAAAGGACTGCAACAATACCTGAAATTCAAAGGAAAACCAGAGTTAGCTGCTACTATTTTCTTACTTGGGTTTGTCAAAGGGCTGCATAAAAAAAGCTAATTAGACTGTTAACAGCATTTCATAATATATAAGTACTTTTAGATATGTTTTATAAGAGCATCTTTCCAACAAACTAGAATTTTTTTTCTTTGCTAAAAATCATCAAGGTCTTGAATCTCCTACCTGGTCCATCATGCATTCATAGCATTTCCATTGTTCTGTATTTGGCCCAAAATTGTAGAAAATTTATTTGAATTAATACATGGTAACATCTGACCATAATCTGACTGACAGTTAGGCAAGGCTAACATAATTGTAATATGAAGGACTTCGGACTATTTTGGCAGAGACTGAACAGGAAAGGAAAAAATATTTTTATTACATTTAAATGGTTTAAGAGCACTTGGTGCTGAACACTGCAGTAGAGGAAAGTCATTTTAGTCTATTCCCGATTGTTAGCCTTATCATAAGCACTGTGTAACAATGTACAAGATAGACAACAACACACTGAATAAAAGTGATGCTCTGGCAGGTGCAAGCTGCATTGTCCAGGTCAATGGCTGAAGCTATGTGGCAGTAGTTATACTTCCCAGCTTGTGGAAGGTCTTGAGGAGAAGCAGGTTTGTCAGGAATAATAATCATAAATTTGTATTATATTGGTATTTCTAATTTTTGAATACTTTCTCCCTGGCCCTCGTTCTATCTCACTAGAATCATTGGGTAATGTCACTGTAGCGCACTATTATAATTAAAGTAGCTGATAAGACTATAAGTGCAATTTCCTGTCAGTTCTGGATATGGATAAGGCAGAAGGAACCCACAAAGGGAGAAAATGGAAAACCAAAAGTAAGTGTCCACCAGTAACCATATGTAAATGCCCACGGAGGGAGAAAGCTCTGAGCTTTTCTTAAATTTGGGGCATGTCTACCTAGGTAATTAATTACACAACAGCTCAAGGCTCATTCATGTCTGTTCCGATCATCATTCCCCTGAAAGCCTCCACACACACTTCCTGAAGCATCGGGAGCATGAAAGTTCTGCTACATTTCCAGATGCACATCACGTGAGCATCAACTGGTTTTGCACAAAGCAGCATGGTCACCGCATGCCTGTGATCTCCAGGGTTCACATACAGGCAGTTTTACACCACCCACTCTGCAGTGCTTTAGTTCTTGTGTCTCTCAGCCCTTCTACTCACTGTCTCCCGTCGAAGAGCTACAACAGGCCCTAATTAGCATTTTAGTTCTGCTTCCTCATGGGCTGTTCTGCAAATTGTTAAGTAATTTTTAGCTCATAGGCTGCTCACATATACTGAAATAATAGTGATGAATCCAAGGAAACACACTGAGGGAACAAAGCAAGCAAAAAGATACCTGTCCAGGTTTAGGCAATATCCGTCCTTGCAATGTGACTGTGCAGCAGCTTCCTAGGCATTTAGTGGGTTAAACTAGCATGAATTGAAACATATAAATCTGTTCTACTGGAAGCAAAGAGCATGAAGTAGAATTGTGAAAATAATCCCAGTCTGTGCCTTCACTCCTGGATATGAAACTGGATAAGGCTTCCTCTATCTTCTCCAGGATGGTGACTCCTGAATTTATAAAGGCCAGCAAGAAGAGGTTCAGTAAGGGGGCAGAATCCACAGTGCTGCAGGCTTTAGCATAGCAAACCCAATATAAAACAATCTGGTACTTTAAAAGAATTAATAGAAGCAGGCCAGGCTTCACACAGTCTCAGGAAAAAATGAATGGTAATGTACTGAATGAGTGTCAGGTGGAAGTGCTGGTGCCTTGATAGGTTCTTTAACAGGCATATCCAAACCTCTAAATGTTTGAATCTTAGCAGCAAGAGGGTCCTGGAGGTAGGTAAAATATCCTCTTCCCCTAAAGCACAGTGCAGATAAGGAAACATGGCAAAATAAAAATTTAGACAATGCTGAAATTGTTTAATTTAGAAGAGTGTGTATGGGAGCAGCACATTGCCACATACTGGTTAAAGTAATTATTACCATGTCTTTCTCAAGTTTCTGACTCTCTTTGCATTGCTAACTGTGAAAATATTGTCCAGCAAAATTAAACTTTCTTTACTTGCAAGGCCCTCTTTGTTTCTCGGAAGAACCGAGGCCTGGCATTAATATGCATTTGATGGAAGAAAAAATTATGGACTAAAAAATTCTGAGATGAATTTTGCACAAGGGATAACTGCCATCAGAAAGAAAATGAGAAAGCAATTTTTTTTTTTTTTTTCACACAAATCACTGTGGATGTTTTCTTTGTTTCCGGGTTCTCTTTATATTGTATATTTACCTGTACTTGTTCTATAGAACACAATAGCCAACAGAAATTCTACTGAGATTTAACTGCTGTATCTTTGTTTTTTAATATTTATTTTAGTTTTTGTTTTGATATTTATTTTTTTCTAAATATGCTAAGACTTTTATTCACAATGTGGGGAGTAGTGAGATTGTTGTCACTGCCTAAATATGTTCCAGAAAGTTAATGTTTCCATGAGATCAAATTGTTCTCTTACATGTATCCAAATCTTTTTTCTCAGTAACTGTATTTGATTGTGAAGAGCTGATCTGGGGAGTTTAAAAATTCTCAAGGCATTAATAATATGCAATGGGATGCTCAAACAATGAAATTTCAGCTTACAAATATAGCCAATCAGTAATATTGCTAAGTATCATTAGCTCAGGATCTGTAACAAAATGGAGATAAGAGTTCCTGATTCACTTTTTTCTACATGAATCATCATCATGCTAAGTCTTGCATTTTTAAAATTGACAATTAAATGCCACTATGATTACAAAAAGTTTTTTGACTGCTAAGGAACTGTTAATTATGGGTAGTGAGAGAACTGAGAGAGTGACATGAGGAACAAAATGGTCTAAACTTGATTTTACAATAGGAATAAATGATCTGAACTATGCAATTATGAAAGTGTAGAAACCAGATATCCTGTTTCCAGGGAAGACAGGGGGAATGCAGTGGAATATTTCAATTGCTACAACTGAAGGCTTAATATGTAACAGCCATGCCTCTTGCTATGAATGGTTCATTAAAAGGCTTGGAGAAAATTGTTTGTAATGCATTTCCATAAAAATGATTACTTAAGAGTAATGACCAATTACATATTAGTGCAACTACAAAGGAAAGAGAATTAACAAAAGTGGGAAACGTAGAACTTTTTAGTTAGAAGGAAGAAGCAATCTGGATTTCTTTGTAAGACTATTGAAGCTAGATTTTGAAGTTAGCTGGGCAGCAAAATACTGTATGAACTGTGTATGGCACAAAAATTAGGTTGATAAATTTTTGCAGGCTTTCTTTCACAGAGAAACAGATTAGACCAAATATGATAATACTGGAGCTATAATAGAAAGTATTTATTAGATGCAGAGAGGCAGATGAAGTGAGATGGTCCTTTTACCAGTCCTTAGTGTTCAGTGCTCTAATTTTGGGGTGTTAAAGATTCAGCACACTTTTTCAGTGCCATTATATTGTTTCATTTTAAAGTGGCAAGTTTAGCAATTACTGACATACTTAGTACCACAATTGCTGAACAAAATACTAACCTAAAGTAAACAAGGAACTTTAGAGTTGAACTGGGTGATGAGTTAAGTACAGTACAGCTGCTTGTGCTTATTAAGAAAGTTATTGAAATTTTTCACTTAATATAAAAATGAGTAACCTCACAGTAAAATGTTTATAGTCGCTAGCAAACTTTCAGCTGTAGCTCAACCCTATTGTAGAGGTTTTACTAGATATAAAATCCTACCATTTTGATTTTTTTTTCCTCATTATATAACACAGAAATAGTGATAGCTTGTTAGCTGTTAATACAATTGGAATACTTATTCTTACATTAGTTTTGTCAAATACTCATAGCTGAAATTGTTGTTAGGACAATATCTAGTCATATCAAAAGATAATGCAGGATAAAGGAGTAACTTATCTTTAGAAATATTTTTGTGATAGTGTGAACACTAATATCATACTGTGAGCAGTAATTTATAAGTGTTAATATAAAAAAAATCCTATATTGTTACTGAAAGACAAAAGTTTTTTTGGATCACTTCACAAATAGGCAAAAGGAAAAAGACCCTTGCTTTTCAATACCTGGTGCTAAGGGAAAAACTGGAAAAAAATGTGTCTTGTCAGAGAAGGGTAGCACGTGTACTGTGCTTTTAATGCAAACCTGGCAGTGACTGGCCACAATTTAAATTTTAGGATTTGCTAATCTGAGAGAATAAAACTGACATTATATCTCCAGCTCTCAGGTCTTTTAGTGGTAAAAAAAGGAATTTAGAAAAAATACCCCAAACCTCTGCCTTCTGAGGAAACAAGGTATAACTTCATTTGAAAAGTTCTATAGGTAAACTGAGCAGTTTTCATCCCAGCTTTGAAGCATGCCAGGGAAGACTCAGGGATGCCTTTCTAATGATGTACAACATGCTGCAAATCCCACAGTAAAACAAGCAACAGGAAATGCTCTTTTTTCAAAGGGGGTGAAATGTGTGGAAAAGAGAATGAGGACTGGGTAATAGAGAAATTATTTATATCAGATAACATTTACTTTGGAATCATATTTATGTTAGAATATCTCCACAGCAGCCAGTGGGCACATCCCAGTGCAGACGGTATGTATGAGTGACAGGAAATGAGACTGTCTTCTGCATCGAATTGTTTCAGGAACAGGGCTATATACCCAGTAGCAACGATATCCCTATTCAGCCTGTCTTCACTGAGGGTGTGAAGTGTGACTAATCATTTTCTTGATACTAAAGCGAAGATTTAAGGCCTCTTTCAACAGACCTGTACCAATGTAGAACCAAAGCTGGTGCTTCATTCATGAAGCTTTCATCTCTGGAGTTGTCTGAGGTTGATTTTATGTTGAGTGACAGAAAGCAACAAAAGACAGAGCTGAGGGAATTTTTTAGGCCCTATTCTGAGGACTGATCATTGGTGTTGCCCCTGACT